ATCCGATTTATTACACCCATGCATGCTGCGTTCACGAACTATCGTTGAGATGTGTTTCCTTGGGTTTGAAAGAAATATATTTAAAAAAAAAAAATTAATCATTCATCCGTGGAATAATTTAAGACACCATGTTAAAGTTTCTATGTGTATGAAATATTTCTAAATTACAACGTATTTTTCTGAATACACCGTTTGTCAACATAAAATAATAAATGTATAGGATATTACGGACTTACTCTACTTTAATCGACAATTCTCTCAGCCTTTCGATTGTTCGCTGGAATTACAGTGGAATAAAAGGAGTACAATCACTGGAATAGTGTAATATCTAGAATAGAAACGGTTCAATTCAATTCACGAATTGCTATTATTCGCTTCAGCGCAATAGATACTGTTTCTACGAGTTATTAAATAGTAACGGTTTTCTTCTTAATCGATCCTAAACAACTTCTACAGTCATCGATATTACGAAACGATATACATATATCGATTGCCTGTAAAATTTTGAATAATCTTTCGAAAGAGCGAACTCAATTGATACGAGTGTTATAATATAACAATGATATCAATAAACATTAATGCCTACGAATAATTTACTATGTATTGCCATCAAATTTTCCAACAGCTCGCGGATTTCTTTATAAATTATATACAAATTTCATCGTAATTATAAGTGTCCTAAAGAGTATTACGAGATGAATTTTATCTATGATCATTTCAACAATTTTTTATACATGTACTCTTGTAATATAAATTAACAAATTAATCTTTTATAATTTTACGAAGCGTCGAATTCATTATAAACCTTTTTTTTTTCATTGGGTCCCTTGAATGAAAGCTACTCGAAGAACAGCAGCCATTGTTATATTTAAAAAAAAAAGCTCTCAAAAGCGTTGTAGAAATTATATAAATGGTCTTTTGAACTGCAGTCTAAGTAGCTCCCAAAAAGTAACTAGAAATAACATAATATGTTGTCTACACACTTGTTACCACTATTGTGATAAATATTGTATTAATCTATTCTACAATGATAGAATTACACTTATAATATATTAAAGAAAAAAAGGACTACATTTGTGTAGTAAAAAGGAAATATGTTTTAATAAAATCAATCAAACCATGTAAGAGAAAATCTGTTACTATTGTACGATCAATGTCTTCTATTAAATGATGTGAATATTTTCAATATTAATATACAATATTCTGATTAATTTGTAACCCAATTGCTGGAACAATGTGTAATATTCCTTAATAAATATATAAACTGTCTTTTTGTTAAGTACTGGTTGCATAGTTTGTTGAATGGTATTGCTTTAATATTCCTAGATTTTCCAAATACGAAAAATAGATCAATTATAAATATACTAATAAATTATGTAAAATAGGAATATTCCTTCGGTAAAAATTCCTTCCATCGACTACTAATTGTAGTGCATTTGAAAGCGCTGCATATATAAACATTTAATATTACTGCAATTTTGCAGAATATTTCCTCTCATTCATCATTGGTAGGGGGGCAGAAGTGAGAATAAAAAAATTACAATTGCCCAATTAAAACTGAAATCAAGTGCCAAAACATAATTGAAAAGACATATTCAGCAGAAAGTGCAACCAGAATTAAACACTCGAGAAACCAGAAACTCAAATGGCTTCTTCCTCACTATCACTGGACTATACATATATACCTTTCTTTCCCATAAATAATTAAACATTAAAAATTTAAGTGTTAGGAAACAGTCTCTAAAAAAATAAATACACAGTGATTATCAACCAATCTTTGTCCTCAGTCTGTACAAAAGTAAGTCTGTATAGATAATAAATTATCTTCAGTAATGTACTGTAAATGTTCTGAGCAATCACGTAAAGTCAAGTATTGATGAAAAGAAAAAAAAAAGTAGATACAAACGATATTTAATCATAAAACTATAATATTGCACTGAATGATGCTTGGCCAACTTTTATGAGTATTCATTAAGAAATTTTTGAACTGTTGCAATCGTAGAGCATGATCAGCTGATAATCAATCCATGCACAATCAAAGTATCCATTGTTAATCGCTTTGCTGAGCTCGCTTTGCTGAGCTCGCTAAACGAAACGTCCAAAACGCAATTCTTAGCCCTTCGGAGGTCTCGGTTCACCTGGCAAATACATGAAAAAGATTAGTTTGAAAATGACAATTGCAGATAGTGTACAGTAGAGCATTTTTTTCTAGAAAATATAAAACACCAAAATGAAGAAAAAGATCTATAAATGGTGTTACAATTACTGTATCTCTCTATTTAGGACTGCGACCTCCAAAGAGTTAAGGACACCGCCTTAAACAGCCTTCCTGCACGCACGCACACTGCTATTTTATCAATTTGGGACTTTATCTCATTTACGATTGCTGATACATACTTCTAAATATGTCTAGTCGAGTAGCCTAATTAAAGCCTACGAATCTAGAGTGCTCGCTCATAAGTGATATGTTGAGTAAAGTGTATTACCTACGGGTGACAATGAATTTAATGCTGTAGCAATAATTTAGTACTGTGGAACTGCGTGTGCCGGCGATCCTCATTCAAAAAGTTTCATTAACACACACTGACAGCCAATCCGATATCTAGCAATTCATCTAGAGTGAACAATAGTCTTGCTGAAACGGAAATCATATAAATTTATTCCTACAGAAACATCTAAACCCCATAATGAAATTAATTCTGTTTAGTATCTCGTACTAAAAATTAATTTTTAGTTCCGAAGCAATCAGCTGAGTCGTCCATGTGACGTGGCGGCAGAATTGGGCAAAATGTAATCTAATTAAAAAACCTGAATTGCAATTACAATGTAGTTCTTATTATAAATTTAGTATAGTTAATTACAATGTAATTCTATGGCAATTACATTGCAATTACTCTGTAATTGGGATTTGGATTTTGTAACCAGTTTACATTTTGCCCAACTCTGCATGGCGGTCATTAATGGGTGTTAACAAAATTTCAATCTTTCCACCATCTAATATGGATTTATCTTTAGAAAAAATGTTCACCATGATTGTGCTCGAATTAAGAATGTATAAGTGTCGGTGTTTTGTGGTCCCGATTTACAAGAGCGGAAATAAATATTCAGCTTCGAGTGGAAATTTGAAATTACGGTAATCGTCCTAAAAAAAGTATCCTCCATTGTCTTTCCAGATGGTAACGCCAGCACAGGCTCGTTTCACTGCCAAGTTTGTGAATACAGCTTGTAGAAGTAGGAACGAGCAACGTTTTCAGGTTCCTGGAGCGACCACGGTTTCTCTCGATGAATTATAGAAAGAAAAAAAATACCGGAATTATTAACATAACGAAAGGTTGTGCGGCCCAACGAAGCACTTTCGACTCGTTTCTACTTCTTTCCATACCAACACTAATATTTTATCCTCGTTAAATTAGATGCCAACAATTTGATATGAAAAAATTCACTAACCATGACGGGACGTAAACCTTTTTGTTTGTTTTTTTTATCTGTTCTAAGTTTGCCAACCAGAAGTTTGTTGTTTCTCATCTGTTTCAATGTTTCTCTAACAAACTCGCTTAAATACTTAGTTAATATATCATTGAGTTTCAATATAAGAATGAGATACCCCTCTATAATCGCTTCGTAAAAGTTATCTTTACGCTCTTATTGCCTAGGAGTAGTTGTCCGTTCTGAGGAACCAGTATTATTTATATATATATATGTATACATATATAGATTTTTTTCCCTTTTCGATAACTTTGGCTCGCCGTCCCAAGACGACATTAAAATTCTAGCAAAATTTCTCGTAAATTGTAATAGCGACCTTCGTGATAACAGCCGCCCCGCCGCAATCTTGTAGAAAATAACATTCCACCTTCGTTTTACAAGTATATCAGAAAGTCTCGACGCATTTATGTCCAGGTTTGTCGCGAATGATAAAAGCTTAAAAGACGATTAAAAGTTGACTAGAGGCAATAATCTCTTGGATTTATATTAAAAAAAAAAACGAAGGTCAAGCTTCTATTTTTTGGATTTTCAAGTCTTCGGCTCAAAATTTAGGGTCCACAGGCGGTCTGCTTCCTCTCTCTTTTTCAACACGGATGTATAATGCCTCTTTTGATCAGCTTAGGTCTAGCTTTCTAATTGTTCCTGCAAGCTATATTTAAATTGACAAAAAGCAAAATTATCGAATAAAACAAAAACACTTCGCTATATCGCTCTCTGATCTGGGGTCTTCCCTACCTAGTCTCTTAGAATGTACGTCTGTATATCTGTTCGAATAGCAAAAGCATATGCGGCGATTGTAAATATAAAACTTTTCTATGATTACTGTGTCCTTGGCAAACTTGTCCAAACGAACCGGCCTTAAAACGTAGTAACTCTGGAATCATGCACAGCTTCTCTAAGTCTAACGAACGGAAAAAAAAGAAAAAGACATCTATACGCTATGGATAAACATTCCACACAGTTCGTCCGTTTTCTGTATATCCAAAACTGTAATCTCGGGTAAGGAAATCTCTCACGGTTTTCGACACTCCATTCTTTTATGTCTCGACGTGTATCATTTGGTGGATGATGATATTCAGCCTCTTAACATCCATTACAATTGACACGTTTCACGGCTATTGCCCTATCAAAATAGTTTTACAAACGTCTATGCAGATTCTTCGACTGGTCTCCATGGAGAACTCTTCCGGTCGCGTATTTGCATTCCGATTCGGAGTTAGATGGAGCAAAATCTTGGAGTACAAGTCTTACATGAAATTTTACAGTAATCTGACTCGACATTCCTCTTCCTCCCTCATGTTCCGTTTTGTTGTTGTTGTTGTTGCTCTTGCTATAACAATGACCTTCGTTGACGCTTAAAACACTTGTATTAAAATTCTCGTAAAAAGTCCACGTTTCCTAGCGTACGAGACGAGTATTCCTCGGTGTCCTGTGCGCTTTGGATATTGAAATCTCTTCGCAGATCGCGATTTATCCGTTCATTAGTTTTAGGATATGTCACTTTGTACGGTCACACTTCCATGTTAAAAAAAAAAAAACAAATGGAAGGAAATTGTAATGTCCGTCTTTTGGGGGAGATGTTTGCAAATCGAAAAATTTGCACTTGTCCGAAACACTTCACTTGCAATTTTCGTTGAAAAATCAATTATCCGCAGGCTTCAAGACACGATCTTTATAGATAATTTCTTGTGAGCGTGTAATCGTGTAAAAACATCAGCGCAGTTCATCGGTGATTCGTTAAAATATCGATTAAAAAGGTCTGTCCTTTTCTCAGTTTCCATACAGCCGCATCTCTCCGTTTTCCTTTTGTTCTTTTCACTTACTCGTAAGATCCTTATAAGAATACTGTATGAGTGTGAGGCAATTTGAACGTTGTGAGACTAGCTATAAACAACGGCAACGCAGTCAAGAGCGCCGGCGCGATTAAAGGTGCGCCGACTAATGTTTTGTAAGTCGTGGTTCCTATCAAACCAGATATTCTTATAACAGCCGCTATAAACCCGAAACCAGTACACCTGTGAAGACCAATAAACTTTATAATTACGATGTCTATCCGTTTATAAGCCTATATTCTGTTTAAATGAAAGTTTTAACAGTTTTATTCATCATTACTCGCCCTGGGTAAAATAATACTCGAAGAATAACTTGCCTCAAATGAGTAGGGAAGCTCTCGACTGTGACCAATGTAAGTGACGTCCAAGCGATGGCAAAAATTGCTACGAAACCTCCTTCGAAACCAAGGACTGCCGAACTGTTTGTGCCCACTAGAACTAGACATGTGGCAGCTACCGAAGAGAGAAACAATGAAATACCAATCATTTTTGGCCGCTGAAGTACAGTGAGTGCTAGTCCTGCCAAAGCAGCGGCAGGCACAAAGGCCAATTGAGCAACGAGATGACCGTGTAGTGCTTCCTCTATATAAATATTATAATCCAAATCGAGAGTTGGGCAAGGTCCGCTTAAACTTAATTCCGTATTATTTCTCAAATTACAATGCCTAAAAACTTGCCGGGATAAATCAGTATCCACGAATCTATAAAAAACGGATCGTATGTATTTTCAATGTTATGTACCTAAATAAAGACATTGTTACACATGGTTTACTGAATAATACATACTTTGAGTATTCAATTGTACTGTTCGTGAAATGTGTCTTACTAGACTTTATGTTACTAAATTCTACAGCCTGAAAAGTACAATTGTCGAAATCTACATGACTGAATATCATCTTAGTAAATCTGAAACAAAGAGGTTATTACGTAAACGGATTCAGGGTTGTGATAAATAGTTTCTCGAGTATTCACTTACCTGCAATGTAAAAAAGTCGCATTTCTGTACTGACGGTTTTCTAGGGAACCTGTGAATGTCTCGTTTTTATATTCCTTCCCAGAAATCTGTGCAGTGTGAGCTTTATATTCCGTTGCACGTATAAGTTTTAGGTACTCGGGACACCATACCATAAGTCCATATAGTCTGAGCAAAAAAAAAAAAAAAAGTCTAACAGTATTATAAATTGAAGGATTATAGAATTATTTACTGAACCTACATACCCAAATGATACAGTCGACCAAATAATTATAAGCACTATCGACACGCGTAAATGCGGTGATACAAATAGTTCCAGAAAAGAATTCCAAAACTGGAAATTCAATGGAAGTTGAATATTAATATTCACATACAAATAATATGGTCAACTCTTACCATTTCAATAGAATAAATTATGTCGGCCATTACACTAGTATGATTAGTAGGAGACGGAGGCGCCAAACCGCGAGGCCTTTTACTTGGAAGCTCCAATTCAGAAAGCTGATACTGCGCACCCGTTGCACCCTTTCGTGCATTATTTTTCTTGTATATTTTCTATGAAAATACGCTCATTTTAATACGGAGCAAAACAAGGGTCTCGATCGGAAACAGGTGTAACAGAAATACCTGGTAAACCATCATTGCCTCCACGTCTCTGCCTGCCTCTACCAAATACCTCGGACTTTCTGGTATAAAAATAAGTCCAACGGTCGAGCATAACGCAGGTAAACAACAAAGTAACAAAAAACGGTGCCAAGCACTAAAGTGCTCTTTATTTTCGAGAACCACCATTTCTCCAGTTGTAGGCACCACCACCCATGCTAAAAGAGCAGCGTATACACCTCCTAGTGCCCCTGCTGCTACAAGTAAACCAATCCATCGACCTCTGCTTAGTCTTGGACAACATTCTGCGAGATATGCAAATGCTAGTGGTAAAGATCCTCCTACTCTGTGATGGAATAAATTATATAATATACTTTGTGCAGAACAAAGCTATATGTAACTTGAAAAAGGAATATCTTACCCAATTGCGGAGCAAAACCTAGCCATCATAAATGTGCCATAAGTTGGCATGAAAGTAGCAACACCACTAAATAAAGCATGAACAGACATTGCAGACAACAATGATCTACGTCTTCCAAGTCTATCCCCTAGACCACCCCAGAATAATCCACCTAATGCTAGACCCATCAGTGTAATATTGCCTATAACAACAATGGTATGAAAACAACCTTCATCGGAAGGAATATACAACAAAACAATGTATATATTGTCGTCAACTAACTAAGCCATCCTTTCTCCTTGTCCTCGATGCATAATTCGACCTCTGCACTTGGTAAAATGTATGGTACAACAAAAAATTCAACAGTGTCAGCTGCGAGGCTCAAACCAGTGCAAAAAGCAGCTAATACTTGGAAGTAACCAACACCAGCCTGAAACAGAAAAATTCGTGGAGATTACACTAATTGTACAATTAATGCATCATTTTAATTTCAAAATTTATATTAGACACGATATTTAATTGTATCGATGCTTATATCCATTCTTAGTCATTTTTTGCTCAGTGTGACTCATGTAGATTAGTCAAAGGAAAAAGTAAGATATCTGCAGAACTACGGATGTAACCTCAAAGAAAATTATGACAAGTACAGGTATTTACTGGAAAATCATTCAGGTATCCCGGTATTTCCCGCGACTGGTATTTTGTTTTTACAATCGATTCGTCCAAGACCTCATCCATGTTGAAACACTAGGGGGCTAACGCAATGGCAGTGAGAAAAACGATTAAAATCCTACACGAAACAACTTATCTAAAAAGGACGCCATTTAACATAGGTTATGTTTTTGTTGTAGAATTTAGGGAGTTTAGGCTATTTTATTTTGATGCGTCAGAAGGGTCACAGTAGCCAATGCAAATACAGATTTCAAATTTGCATAAGCTCATTGGCTGTAACTATCTCATAATCTCATGGAGAAAGCGATCGAAGTTTATCGATCGATTTCCAACTAGCTATTCGATATCTTTCGATAATCGGAATTGACCGCGTACAGATTTCAAATTTTAGTCAAGTGGGAGTCTTTCGGTAAGAACGGTCGTCATTTCAAGGGCTCCTCGAATTTCGCGACTTTTAATTCGTTTCATTATCGTTTAAGTGCTCAATCTGTACTTTTGTCTTTAGTATTTGGGTGAAAGAATTACGAAATATATCAACAATATACTGTAACAGTGAAATTATATCGGAAAAACCGTATTAACAAAGTTCGTTATAGAACGGTTACCGGCGTCACGGTCAGCAAAACTTTAATCGAAATAATTAATAGAAACGTCGTAGTTTGCCAGCTGAAACTTAACTCGGGAACATAAAATCGCGAAACATTCGACAATCAATACGAATCTAATGTCTGTAGATGTATATAACGAAATATATACCGGACCCTTGTTTCATCAACGGCGTCCATTTTGTAACGGTTAAAATTCAAACATGAACTTATTAACGGTACCACGCAATTCGATCTTGAAAACTACGAACAAGTTATCAGTGACAGTGACTGTGAATACTGAGAATGGACGGTAGCAAAAGATAGAATAGTGAAAAAAGCAAGTTGTTGACCTGCTTAATAGCGTCTTCGTGAAATTGTGCCAAAAGCGTCGCATCGGCGGTGGAATCAATGAGATCGTGTTCGGCGGAATCGGCGGAAGCCGTGTTCACACCAGCGGTGTTGGCATTTGCTGGTTGGGTCGTCATCTCTTCTGTGTATAATCCTCCTCTAACATTGACAGTGCGTTCTCCAGTCCCGGATATTGTACCACCGCCGGAAGATACGGGACCACCCCCGCTGCCAACGAGCCACTGGCTTTCCTCTTCCGACGAGGGCATTACTGCCAGAAACCATCTGCAACATCGTAAAAATTTGCCAGAATCTGCTCCAGAGCCCACCGCAATTCTCCCACGCAACAGGAGATCATTAGCAGCATGTGTGAGTACATTATTAAATTTTAAAAATTCTATTTTTATTGGCGTTCTCCGATCGTTCATGAATATCTCATCACCTCTAAAGTAAAATTGACGGAAAAAGGTGAAAAGGAACGTCAACTGCTTTTTAGTATTGTATACGATTGCATGAGAATGTCGAGAGATTCTCAAGTGAAATTCACTATGAACTTACGAACACCGTAAAACTAAGGAGTGGGGTGGTAAAATGAAAACCACTGCCTAAAAAGGAATTAACTACGGAAAAATGTAATGAATTCAAAAGAAACCATCGGTTTTTCGTTATATTATTTAGCCAGTTAGCTTCGTCTCGTTAGTACGGTCGTAGAACGTCGAGAGATTCTCAAGTGAAGTTCATTAAGCGCAAAGAGGACCGTTGTACTTTAGATATGGGAAGTAAAATGGGAATAACCGAATGAGAAATAATTAACGGGCGTAGAATAAGACTCGAATGGATTTTAAAGCGTACATTTATCAATATTTCGTACGCCTTTTGCCCTTAACGAACTGATCGGGACCTAACGAACCAATTTCAAAAATATGGCGTTCGTCGTGCCATCTTGCGTCAACGCCAGTGACGTCATCGCGGATGCACTTGTTACTGGTTATAAGTTTTAAAACGAGAGAGTCATCGGATGCACAGGCACCACACACACGTTCACGTGTGCCCAGCAAAACTAATTTATCGATTCCGCGTATACACACAGGATCGACCCGCGGCACGCCGCCCACGAGCACAGGTTCTCCACAGGGCCGATTCTTTATTTAAATATACATAACCACACGTGTCAGCCTTGCGTCAACGTCGCCGATGGCCATTGTTAACTATGACAAAGGGAGGGGGGGGGGTCTACGTGTTGTGTTTCCGCGAACCTTTCCCCCGTTCATCTCGACATTTTCGCTCGACAACGACTTTGCCCACCCCTTCCGGCTCGAAGAGTATTCCCACCACCCACGTGTCAACTCTCTATACTCCCCTTAATTATCCGAATGGCCGTTAACAACAAAACGGTTGGACACTCGCCGCGTACCGTCAACCCGTAAAGTATTTATTTTTAGGTAATACCGGGAATCGAGGCAGCTAGAACATTCACTGTATAGCTACAGACGGTTTCGTGTAGCTCAAATGATTATTTCCCGCTCGGCCCGTAAGCTGTCTTGCTATAAGCACGAATGCATCGGTATACACTCAGTCGCATAAGCTAATTCTAGAATCACCGTTTCCACCGATACAAAAATAACAAAATCGAGAGACAAAACGAGGGAAGAAAAACCCTACATGATTCGATTTAATTAATTACCGTTAAGGGAAAGAATTGTCAGCAAGATTCTTCCTCGAGTACCGCGATACACGATAAACGACGGTAGGAAGTCGATCACGCGGGGGAATCACCGAGATATATTCGAGAAAGATAAATATTTGCCAACTTTCGTGACAAGGCAGGTGCTTTGTTACTCTACTTAGCCGAGAATCAAGAAGATATTGAAAAATAAGAAACATTTTTATCGAAATGTAACAATCTTTTTTTTTTTTTTTTAAATTTTCGCTGTACTAACGAAAAAATCGAAGTAAACAAATATCCGCCGAGATAGGGTGATTAATTGTACTCGAGTTCCGTGCGATTCTCTTCGACGATACAGTCACTCGTAAATTATCGAGACGCATTCCGAGACGTCGTTGCACGCCCGACGGGGGGACTAGAGCTTGATGAGCCGCACGTGGTTGCGTCGCGACGCATTGAAGTGCACTCTCTCGACGACGAGCCTCGAGCCCCTCGCGTGATGACGCATAACAGAGAATTTTCGACACAAACGAGACACCTCTTCCCTCCGGTCCATGACTTCTCGCGGGGGAGGGCATACACATATATATCTTGTGTCCCGACCCGAAAACACCGTGCGTGATAGTGGTCACTCTCACAAGCTCGGAACTGTTCGGAACGAGCGTCCATGATGTGTGCAACGCGGTGTAACGATAACTGTATTTAATCGGTGATTATCGCTAATTAGGAGACAGCCGGAGAGCCTCCCGGCGTTGCATTGTCGGGGCCGTATCTGGATCTCAATGGACGACGGCCGGGTGTCGCTTTTAAAATAACCTACTATGTCACACACGCGTAGACTTGTAAACCAGAGGGACTAAGTTAAATGTATACGTACATTCATCTATCGAGTTGTCCAATGTGTCTTCCCTCTTTCTTTCCCCGGTATTTGTTATTCTATACACAACAATAGACAGAAATTGACTGTTATATACATGTATACATGGAACACTAACTCGAGATGTAACGGTCAAAGGTTATCAAAGCGAGCGATAAAACGAAACTGAACGCAGTGCATGAAGCGCAACGCAGTTAACGTTCTTGGCGAAAGTACTAATGGACTTTGGTCAGTTTTACGGGATACACACATACCTGATTGGTAGATTTTCGTGATACGCAACACCGTTTGAATATCTCTTCCTCTTGGAACTTCACTGGGTACGACTCGCACGGCAGACGTGCCGTAAATGACAATCAAAGAGCACCGTGGTCCGAGTGTGTTGATCATCGGCTTATCGATTCTGCACGAACCGAAATCAAGCCTGTGTCTGTGCGCCTCGTCGAACGGGAAGCAGTGATTCTATGCCGTGTTATCGCGGTGTAGCACGAGTATCCCCGGTGGGACCATGAATGCTACCCGGAGATGGACACGGAGGACACGTCTTCGACATTATTTCACGGTCGATGATTTAATCAGGATAATAGCTTTTTGGTGCAGTATCGTCTGAACTCGCGACCACAAGAACCTATATATATATATCACCACAGAGAGTTTTTAAATAACCGTAATTCAACTAAACTGTCCCATCAGTGACGGTCTCCCGAAATGATCCCCAACTCTCCCTAACCAGCAACGTTAGCCCTCCCCCTTTGAGTCTGATTTCGATGGAATCGTGATTCCTATCACATTCCCACGACAAATGTTCCGCGAGAACTACACTTCCCCACACATTTCCATCCGTTAAATACAACAATCCACCACACGTTACACCTGCGGCGGAGGGAGGTTTTTTTTCCTTTTTTTTTGTGCGCGACGTGTCTTAGAAATCAATGAACGGAGGAAGACGTGCGGGGATACCCGAGGACCCCCTCGAATTTTCCAGCCGCGCGAACCGCCCGCGTATATACCACGCTGACACCTATATGTATATTCGTCTTCACTCGGTAGTCCCTTTTATATTATTCGACTGGTCGTAACGCGACGAAACGGTGCTGCAACGTTCGTGGCCCGGTTCCAGGCGTTCTCTGATCGCCCGTGAAAAGCGAACGGCGACCACGACAGCGGTCCGGTAACATTTTCATACTATGAGGCAAACAACACTGCGCGTGTATCGATTTAGGGAACACAACTACGAGCCGTTAGAATCACCTCCGCCCTATATAGAGCGAGCGGCAGCAGCCGTATACCCTCCCCTCGTTCTCGCGACGACGTCAAAGCTCGACGAGTGTTTGTGGAACGGCTCATAGACGGGAGTTCTTCCAAATCTAGACCTTTTGCTAGGGAGGGTTGTCGACCCGTTGCATTCCCCCCCCCCCACCCTTTATTTTTCGCCCAGAGGGTTATTATTAACGTATTTATGCACCGATTCGAAGATATTTTCTCCGAATGGTTCGGCAAATTGGCTTGGAACCATTGTTAAGTCTCGAGAGGCATTTTGGGCAAAGAGGGTGTAATAATTTCTGGATTAAGAGTCCAGGGAAATGGTTGAGGAATAGTATCTCTGGAGATTAATCGAGCTAACGATGACAGATTTGTAGGAACGTAGAAAATGTTGCACACACTTTCAGAGTCTAATGTATATTCGTATAAATTATCATCATTAGTTCATGGAATGTAGAGTTTGGTTCACCAGTGATGTAGGGATGAAGATTTTGGTTTGCAGGACTGTGGTAATTTTTTTGGTAACTAGTGAGCAGAAAATAGTAACTTTTTTCTCCAAAAAAGAAATATCTGTTTTATTATTCATCAGAGTCATCGTCGTCATCCGCTCTCTCCCTTTCGTCCAATTTTGCCCGTGAAATTAACTCCTTCGCTGGATTAAATACACCGTTGGTTTGCACGTTGCATATGTAACACCTAGTGCTTTTCTTGTAATGTTCTAGCGCGCATTTCTCGCAGAAATAATGTTTACATCTGAAAATACAAAGATTTGTCGCGTTTACTTGACTAGCTCCCGGTGAATTTCAGCTTTAGAGACTTAAAAAGTTGTACACACTTTGTAATGATAGGGTCAGTGAAGCTGTTCCGACAGATAAAACATTTAAATGGGAGACTCTCGTCGTCGCTATGAATCTCATACTTTTTATCATCTTCATCTCCACTATCGTTATATTCTCCTGTAGCTGCCTCCCTCTCTAATTGCCACCCCAACTTGTAGTCCGAACGATCGTGAAGAAACTTACAACTATCTGAAATTTAAATCAATTTTATTAACCATTGCTGGCTTCTATAACTGGGTCATCAACGACCCATTCTTACCGAACCGTTTATACAGCGATGAAGCAAATATTGTCTTAATATACATGTGTCAAATTTTATTATGCACTTACTGTTTGTATGCCGAGGGTTAAGTTTTAATAATTAATGAAATGGTGTAAAACCTTCTTTTCAGTCAGTTTACCTCCAAACCCACAGAAACCAGTTTCTTTGTAGTCTTTGCAGATATCTGGTTGGTAATCCCATCTAACAGTTGCCCTTAGATTAGCCGGTGCCCGAATCGGTCCCTTACGTACCATTCCACTGGAAGCATTTCCAGCTGCTGTGTCCTTTTTCTTATAATATTGAGCATAATTATTTAAACCTCTGTAAATCTTATCGTCTTCCTTTCCCTCGAGTTCCTGAAAATGATTGCATCGCATTAAGCAATTTTACTTTTTAAGATTTACTTTATCATGTACCTCGTTTATTTTTTGAGCCTTTTCAAATATAGCCTGGGCATCTTTATCATTTTCTGTCTCTGTTTCCAAAATTGCTGTCGCTCCTTGATCGCTTGGTCCAGCTGGCATAGGGGTTCTTGTACTTTTATAAGAAACTGTAATACCTTCTTCCTCACTCTTATCATTGTCAGCTGATTTCTGGATATCTTTCAATCGTTTTGTGTTGGTCTGTAAAATGTTGTATTTAAAAAACATTACCAGTTCTACTGACACTTGAGTCTTTCTTTAATATAAATGATATTGCATTGTCGATAAACAATGTATCCAATGTATTGTCACATCAAGTACTTACACTTTGTTTCATAGGATTGTTGTCATTATGTTTCCTCTCTTTTTTAACCACCGTTGTTTCATCTTCGCTGCTCTCTGTTTGAAATATAAATACGGAATGTCCGTAAAAATTTATAAACAAAGCGTATAACCTATGAAGGATGCTAATCAAATTTATATAATGAAATTACAGTCTATCGAAATAACAGCGAAACATTCGGGATTCCTTTAAACGTAATTACCGTCTTCATCGTCCGCTCCTCTACGTTTCCGGGCCGAAGTGCTTCGAATCTTTCTTCTATTGAATAAAAACGTACAATTTTTCTTGTCCGTTTTGGATTCTGCGTCTTCCATATTTGTTTTGTAAACAACCCGATCCCAACGCTTTTCTAACCGAAGTTTTCCTATTTCTTAATTATTTTAAAATCCCTGTGAATACACGTTTCGATCTTCTGTCTATAGAACTGACACTGAAACCAATTAAGTGGATTAAATCTTCAGGCAAGAACTTTATCAAGGTATCCCGTACGTTTACTTTTATTGTCTATAGGTTATGTTTGACTAATCAGGGACGCTATACGCTCGTCAGATTGTATGCGTACTTTAATGTGACTATATATACAAAATCATTAAACTATAAAACGTGTAAGCTTTCAGAATAATCATTGCTGTATGAATGAATAATGGTCTCATTCTTACGAAAGTTTATGTTGGCCATTAGTTCTGTAATACATTTCTGTTAAAATTATGAACGGATTAGCAATGAATTGTGTTTGTTCTTTTTAGAAAAGAAGCAATATGAACAAGAAAAAAAATATGGCCATTGATTTTCAAGATAATATGATATTGTTAACAAGAAAGTACTTAAAACGTAAAATCATGTGTCCTGAGACAAAGTTTAGGCACCATGTGAAAGAGCGTATGCACGTGCTGGAGTTACTAAAGCGTACAGTTGATATGGGAGAAAGTAATTCTGCATTGTTAATTGGACCAAGGGGTAGTGGGAAAACAACAGTATGTCTCTTCTCTTAAACTTCATGTCTAGATATCTCTTCAATTTGTCCTCACAAATGTTTGTTGTTGCAGTTAATGAATAGTGTTTTGAAAGAATTGTCGTCCATAAAGAGTTTCAAAGAAAATGCTTTGATAGTAAATCTTCATGGTCTTGTCCATACCGATGACCGTTTAGCATTGAAAGATGCCACTCGGCAAATGCAGTTAGAGAATGCAGTAGGAGAAAAAGTTTTTGGCACATTTGCAGAGAATCTGAAGTGAACACCATAATCAGACTTTATTGTACAATTTGTTTGATATTGCTCAATCAGCTCAAGTAAGTGTAGACAAAAAATGTCTGCTTTGTGTTCTGATCTTCGTTTAAATAAATCCTTCCTTCTTTAGGCACCGATATGCGTGATAGGAATGACTTGTAGATTGGACGTCATAGAACTTTTAGAAAAAAGAGTTAAATCAAGATTCTCCCATCGTCAGATATTTTTGTTCCCTGGCGACACATCGTCTTCTGAGCAGCCGACGACTGCTTTTGACGATCGTTTGGAACTGTTCCAGCACCTTCTTAGTCTTCCCGATGATGAAAATGTAAATAGGATAGAGCAACAATACGACGATTGTACCATAGATCCACAGTTTGGTTCCATGTGGAACGAATATATAAAGAGTTTAGTCAGTAACGCGACTATGGTGAACTTGTTGAAGAGAATGTATCAGATGGATGTAAGCGAGAGGAGTTTCAGAAATTTTCTAGCTGTTGCTGTTTCCACATTGTCGGAGAAACATCAGAGACTGGAAGTGAATGATTTCGTAGAAGCGAGCAAAATATTCGCTCAGGATGATAAGGTTCTAATGCTCGAGGGATTGTCTGTTTTAGAAATGTGTTTAGTAAGTGTATTTCATTGCAATTGGTTTTCGTATGTGTAGATCGCACAACCCTAACTGTACCATTATTTTAGATAATAGCGATGAAACATGAGACAGAAATTTATGATGGAGAACCATTGAATTTCGAGGCAGTCTATAATCGTTATTTTAAATTTGTCAATCAGAATTCGTCCATACAAAGCGTTCAGAGGCCCGTTATCATGAAGGCCTTCGAGCATATCAAGGTAGTCACTAGAAATAGAATAGCGCCCTTGTCATAGTATCCAAGAAATGTAATCACGAATAAAACTTTTCACAGAACTTGGAGATCCTGATGCCGGTGAGCGGTATGAATTCAAAAGTCGAGAAGGAGTATCAGTATTATAAATTTTTGCTCACACCACAACAAGTTATGGATGCTGTGAAAAATTATCCTGGTTTACCCACCGAAGTCTCTCAATGGGCTTTGAGTAGTGTGTAATGATGGTAATTTATGCATGAAATTACAGACGCCATTGTGAATCGGTTATCGTCTGTAATTTTATTCAACAAAAAGTATTTCACTAGCATGCATCAAGATATTTTCCAGCAACTTTCGTGGAAGGTATTAAATATGCTAGATAGTAGCAAAAAGTTTTATTCCATATCGAACATCGATTTTGCTAACACTATTTATTAGAGAAGGCAGTATTCTGTTTCTTCTGCTGTATTTTGTACAAATGTTTTAGTGTGCGTGTTCATTTCAACGGTATACGTTCTTACATGTGTACCGAAACTACTAGTTAGAGTTAGAGCATTGGAGTAATATCAAACTATTTTCGAAAAGTCGCTGTACCTAATTTCGTAACGTGTTTTTACAGGCAGTATCATCGTTTCCATTTACCGTATGCATCTTATCGTGAATTTGTAAATAGATTTAACGTCCGAGAGTATTCGAATAAGCTAGATGAAATTTATTTTGTGATTGTCAATCGGTACTTGTCTACGGAAGATCAATTCCTGCCAGTTGACAGTATGACAAAACGTCCAATGTTGCGTCCTTAACGATTATAAAAGGCAAACTACTATTCATGAGAATATTTTATTTGAAACAGAACTATACAATAGATATAACTTCCTTATATGTGCCATGCTGGTTAGACACTCTCTTGATATATATATATATATAATATAGATATTGTATTACGTATATTCACTGTGTCTGTGATCTCAGGACAGATTTGTTCCCTTCTATTCTGGTGTGCGTAATTATCATACATGTAATTGCATAAGATTTTAATTATTTATCGAAGAATGTGTGTACATCTGTACGTGTTCCCAGTAATGTGTGAAAGCGTTAGAACGTGTATGCGAATACATTTATACCGTTTCTAATAAATTTACATTCGATAAATTGTTAGATGGCATTCGAAAGACATCAATCCATCCAAGCGATATGTGGTTTATTCTGTTTTGTTAATGTTGCATCTGTAATTCCATTAGACTGAGGTGTCTTTGACGACTTATTCCTGAGAGACAATCGTTTTCCCATTTTTAAACGACTCTTACGAGTGTATTTGTCGATATAGGAATCATGACCTGTTGTAAAATAATTTGCATTATTAATTGGAACTTTCCAGTTCCTTGTTCGAGGCTTCTTACCAGGATTTATTCCTACAGGATGTATAGCTCCCAGTTTGTGTTCTTGGGAAATTGGACGAAGAGCAGACATGGCTCTACTCACGCCTATCTAAAGATATAAATAATAATCATAGAATGTGTAATTTCCAAAATACAATTACCCACTTTGTAGTTTAAATATAAACCTGCATATGTCGTATACGATGTTCCACTAAGTCTGCTCCAAGCAGTTCGTCATGGACACTCATTCTAATGGGTATAAGTTTATTTACACCCTAGAAGGAGAAGTGATATGCAAATTAAGCAATAGGAGCAATCAATGAAGGTGTTATATTGTACATATTAAATGATACTTAATAGAATTTACCCATAATAAAGCAATGGAAGTAGAAAAGCTCCAAAATCCTAAGCATAGAGCAGTTAGACACTGGACACCTAACAAATACCATCCTCCTCCTGCAAAACCAAGCATTTTGTATGCTTTTGATTCATTTTAAAATACCCATCGATTACTACAAACCCTTTAATAATCCTTTTCTTCCATTAGTAGTATTAAGGGGGTACGGATTGTCTGCAAATAAACCGATAGCAATAATCCCCCAAATTCCACTCGCTCCTACCATGAAAAGAAGGTGTTAGTATGACAGTTAAATGAAGACCAAAAGAATGAAACTGAGGAAGGGGCAGACCATGAGTTGCACTGGCTCCAACAGGATCGTCGATATGTACTTTGTCTAATACAGGCATTAGAAAACACGTAATGAAAGCACCGACCATTCCAACGATTATAGACTCCCAGGCTCTAAAAAGGAAACAACCACCTAACTGACACAGTAAAAGTGATATTGTTATGATGAATGCTTTCTACCGTTTATAAATTATCAGCCCAATGGGATTCACCTGTTACTGCAACTAAGGAACCAAGAATACCATTTATCTGACTAAGAATATCGATCCCGTTCGTATTAGTCAAACTAAAACCCAGTCCAATTAATCCACCACCCATGCTGGCTAGCATCGTACAGACTGCTGCTCTAGCTGCATATTGCCATCGTTGCTCACTGACACCGTATGTACTACCACTGTTGAAAGCTAACCAGCCCCACCTATCATTGTATTCATTAGTCGTGTGGAGTAATCTTATGCCTGTGAATCATTAATGTCTTATTACCAAAGTACAAATAAACCCATGATAGCATTGACAGGGTTTCCAAGAGGTAACGGATCAATTCCATTATCGTATCTGCCAAGTCTTGGTCCCAACATAATGGCACATGCTAGTGCTACAATAAAATGGTGCTTAATATTTTAATAGAACCTGTTCCAAGGGAAACAAAGAGACAAATATCTACCAGAACTACCACCAACAAGATGTACCACTCCAGAACCAGCTATATCGACAGCACCCATGACCTTTAAAAAGCCATGGTCACCCCATACCCATCCAGCTGGTACGCAATACACGATTGTGTTTAGAAATGAGAATAAACAGTACGCTTTGAAATTGCATCTGGAATTGAACAATGTAAAAACGAAGTGAGGAATCTTTTAAACTACATAATTACCGTTCCGCCATAGCTCCGCTGACGATGGTTGTCGAAGTGGTTGCGAAGCTTAATTGAAATAAGAATGCAGCACACTTTGGACCCATGTGTTCATCGTGGACAGACGGATCTATTAAAAATTCTCCTAAACCAATAAAGGGATTGTAGTGTTCGTTCGATCCGAAACTCATTGCGAAGCCAAATGCCCAATAAGTCAGTCCTCCAAGCACTATGTCCACCACATTTTTCATCATAATGTTAACTTCATTCTTCAGTGACACACAACCAGACTCTAACATACCAAAACCTAAGGTGAACGAAGAAACAGAGTTTACTGTGTTGGAGCACTAGTCAACGTGTTACACTTCAAGTGACAACTTTACCAGTTTGCATGGTAAAGATTATGAAGGAGTTCGATATGATCCAATTGCTGTCCTCTTGATTGAGGCTGTACGCAGAAATGATGTCTGCATATTTGACTGAACTGTTTGTAGTGTTTGTTTCATTGATTCCTGGTTCCATGTTAGTCAGGCTCACTTTCCTCGACAAGGTAATACCATTAACTAGGGAGTGCCTTATTCTTACAGTACGAGAAAGTCCTCTTGAGGAAAACAAGTTAAAAATAGATGGACCACGAGCAAAACACATCAATTATGAATAGCATGCACTCTGCGGCAGTATCTACCAGTACAGTAGAATTGTAGTTCAATGGAATGGAAGGACAGAAAAGTACACTCTCTTGGAATTCGGGTTTTTAAAATTTTTTTATTGGCCCACATCCAGCCGTTACAAAAAATTTTCACCTCACCATAGAATTCAGCAACTCCGTTCCATTCCTTTGTGATTGAAATAACATTTAAATCATGTAAATAGAATTAACACTAGACTAAATAAAAGAAAATGATATCACATAAAACGTCTACATAGAATCACCGAATTTTTCATAGGTTTTCTTTTGATGTATTAGTAACTGTTTTTTTCCTTTTTGAATATGATCATTAATGCACGTGAATTATAGGTTTTGCAACTGTGAAGTTAGTCACTCTTCACGTTTTTAAAAGTATTACATTCTTTCTAACGATTTTATCCAATATCTTTTTTTTTTTGTTCTTTTTTTTCCCAGTATCAGGCTAGACATGATACGAGATCATATAACTCAGCTCTGATTAGTCCTTCTTACACCCTATTATCCGAAGCTTCCTTAGTCGGCGGCGAGTGACGGAATCGAAAAATGTAAGACATTTGCATTTGTTGGCAGACGAACAAATCCAATTTATCTTAAGGAAGCAAATTCAGTTTAGTGTGTGCTGTGCTAGGATTTTAAATTTCACTCAAAAAAGGTTTTGAAAGATACAATTTTTGTTTTGTTAACACTTCCGAAAGCATCTAAAAGTACTACGCTTGTAGATGGCAAAATTTTTGTCGTCTGCTCTTGTCCTTTTGATGTTGTCTTCTTTATTATGATTTAATGTCCATACACATTCTCGTCGCTATACGCTATGTAAAGGAAGAAGTCCTCTTCATGGTGTTCCTAGAAGCAATCACGATCATGATAAATATATAATATAAATTCACACGATCCCTTGAAAGCATTAATGGTGTAAGTCGATAAATATGCTTTTGAGATATTTAGAGGCTTAGAAAACATCTTGTAAAGCTACCCCTGAATCGATACATGAGTATAAATCATAATTGAGTATCTTCCTATGATATCAACTAAACTTTACTGAAACTTGACACACGATTGTTGCTTTCAAAGGCTTGCATCGTTAAACTTGAGAATCCACATCATATAATTACCGCATAAAGAGAACCCATGGTGGCGCTCGTAGGTGGGATGATGTTATTAACGAAGAAAAAAAGGGCATCCTCAGGACGAAGATGAATTCGCTTCCGGATTAAGAAGTAAAATTGTCCAACGGTCAAATCAGATGGTACTAAATACTTTTGTTTGTCCAAGTCACTAATTTTCGCTTTAGGCGCTTTCTCGACGATTACCTGCGAAAGCAGATCAGATATTTCTTCAATGATACATCGCCAAAATCAGCCTGCAACCGATCGAATACTATTCAAGGTCCAAGGTTTTCACGATCAGCACAACAAGGAAATAATCGAACACCATCGATCCCACTCAATCCTGTACATTTGCACACAGAAAACTGCATATCACTCTGACAGAGAATATCTTATTATTCTTAACCAAACCATGAAACGGCTGAAAACCTTGGCCGAACGTCAAGATCGCCTCGAAACCCACTATCAAATCCAAGTTTCATATTATGTGCGTTTGACACTTATCCAAGTCCCATGCCTAGTGTACATACACGAACAGCTGTGATCTTACAATTTTGCCAGTCGAGCCAGATTTTCCACTGTCCCCGACACGAAATTCGTCGAACGGGGTAAGAGAGTCGGAGGATCGAGGCAGGTTGCTGATCGGGAGGGGAATCTCCGCGCGCAATTAGAAAAAAATGGGATAAAACGAAAAAATAAAAAATTATATATCGGTTCTGTTTTATCAATCCGCGGGGAGGGAAATTACAGACACAGACAAATAGTCTGTGGGTGTAGCAAGATCAATAGACTCGAGGGGGGCCAATAAGGCAAACCCGCGCAAAGAAATTCGATACCAGCGTGTTCAATTAGCCCGTTTGTACCATCGATTAAGGAAAGTATTTGCATCATCCCGGAATTACGAGACGAAAAATTGAAGCGTAGAAAGCCGACCTTGGCCTATTCCAGACCAGGAAATCTCCGTGGATAGATCGATCACAGCGACAGGGGGGAGGGGGACAAATTAAACTCGTCCAAAATTTTGCGGTTCTCTAGCTAAAAACAACGTTCCCGTGGATCACGAGCCTCTTCCCACCGATCCGAACCTTTCGTCAACAGATTCTTCCCGTTCGAGCAAAACAGGCCAAACCGATCTCTTTCTCGGACGTATAACACAATCAATCGGTATTCACCAGATTCACAAGGTTACTCACGGGAACCCTGTCGGGATATTTTCGTCGTATCTTTTCACCCTCGGCCTTCCTCTTTTCGAAGGGATGCCCCTCCTTGTACTGAAACTTCATTGTTCTCGCGCTACAGCACGAGCAACCGAGTTTTACGGTGTTCCGCCTCCTGTCCCCGTGACCGATGATTCTTTTCCTTCTCGAACGATTTTCACACGGATTTTGCTGATTCTGAACTGGATAGGACGACGACGACGACGACACGATACGATACTCTTCTGCACTTCTGTCACAACAATCGCCGTGCGTCAGTTCGTCTGCGCAACGCGATATATTCTTCCGCTCTCCGTGATTCGTTCCCTCTCTCTCTTGCTCTTTGTTTCGCTGCGCGTACGCGAAATAGTCCCTCGGTTTTCCACGGGAAACTCGACGAAAATTGAGTGTCGAGATCGAATTGTAATGTCCAACTACGCGCCACCGCTACTGGAACATACTACGACATCTTATCGCAATATCCGCTTGATCGGTGGAGAATCGTTTACAGATGTATTTGATAGATAAACCAGGGTCGTGTCTATGGAATTGGACCCACGTATCTTTGGGTATTTTTTTGGGGGGAAAGGAGGGGTAATCATTGAAACGCGCATGGGATTATTGAGCTATTAATTTTGGGACTGTCTGTAGGAATATATTATTTTTTTTAGATGTATGATAGGTTTGTCAGGTGTAAGGACATATTGGTAGAATAATACTTGCCGTTCGGTCCGTAAGGCGCTAGGCTGTTAACGACAAGAATCATTTGGGTAAGCTTTATCTATTTTTTTACACGGTTTCGTGTATTATTTGTTTAATATATAGCCATGGATCTTTGGATTGTAATGGTATATTGTTGTTACTGTGTAAGGGATTTGCGAGAGGAATAGTTATGATTAGAAGAATTGTATAACAATAATAAGAGTTCTTGCGTAATGCGTGTGGAGGGAGATTGGAGAGCCTCAAATAGATACGGCCCTGTCAATGATAAAGAGTGACTTGTTTTTTATTACTACGCGTCAGGTGACGCATGTCTTTGTATTTGCAAGGGGAGCTCGCGCGATGCATCATTCATAATGATAAATTTGGCACTCTTTTTGTTTCTCGTTGAACATGCGCGCTTTATCATTAATTATTACTTCATTATAATTTTTGATCAAGTATGCTCAGTTGGTTCTTTCAATTAAACAAGATCTGTTTATTTCGTTATCAATTGATTGCTCGCAAACGTTCCTACACAACCGATGGACTTTAAGGGATGCAAGTCAACATCAGTAAAACGTATTATTCCTTAGTAAAGTTCAGTCTAAATGTTTTTCATTATTTATTAAAAGAAATATGTACAGATGTTTTCTGTAATTGTGTATAGAATAAAAACAATATTTATTCTGCATCTTCTTCGTCGTCGTCCTCCTGGCTGTTAATCTGGAAGTACCTCAGTTCGTATGTCTCTTTGTCTTTGGACACTACACGCAGCCAGTCACGCAGCTTGTTCTTCTTCAGATACTTTTTCGTTAAATACTTGAGGTACCTATGGGAACACGTTATTCAATTAGTGCAAATATCGGTTGTCTTGTTGAGAGTAATCTCAATCCGTATTTATCTATGTATCAAGGTCATGTGCATTTTCTTATATTAATACAATTGGACTCTCACTATATCGCACATACATTCTGAGACCTTTTTAAGAGAACATTCTATTTTTATTATTTTAATTCCACCTCAATCTTAATTACTGATTTTAAAACAATTACGAAACTGTCATCTAATAGGTTTATCACCATTAACCCCTTACCTTACAACATCACATCAGACACGTGATAACGACTTCAAACCGTATTTACTAAACATGTATATTATTAATTTCCTTTGAGTCGATGTGAAATACTGTTCCACTAGTAGTAATATTTAAGGGTTAGAATAAATGCAACACTTGCCATAAGAATAGAATTCCTTTTGTATCAGGGAAATTCTTAACGATAAAATAATTCTTGAGAGTGAAGTCGTAAAAAAATCATGGCAGGGGGTTAAAGATATGAACCCAAATAAACTAAAGACTGCAGGTGAAACCAGAGGTAAGATATAACATGAGCCAATTTCAGTCTTCTGAAGAACAGGACGATACCCACCGCTTAGAGAAGTCAATGTCACTATTCACAGACAGTTTCATCTTGTCGCGTTCCAATGTGAGACTGTTACCAAAATTGTTTGTTTTACCTCCAACCTTGATTCTTTCATGGAGGTACTTTTCCTAAAGAAAAAGAAATAAGCAACGTTATTTACACACTGCAAACAGAATTCTTTCAGAGGTCCTAAGACTTCAAGCAATATGAAAAAAAAGGTACACAGTAAGGGTGTATCAAAGAAGATAGTAAAATTGGTAATAGTAAAGTTCTGATATCAGGAAAATAACTTACAAAATTGGCTACATCCATAATGTTATCCTCAGCGGGATGTGTGCAGTCAATAGTGAACTTAAGGGAGATCTTTTTCTTCTGGCCCTTGCCCCGAAGGTTCTGTTTCTTGGGGGCCGGCCCTTTGGACTTCTTCACGACGGTCTGAAAAACGAACGATTTACCATATTGAGAGAGTTTTCATTAAGTAGCTGTGCCTGTCTCGTGGCGAATCCATGTGCGGCCACTGGAGCGATGTTTATATCGTTGGTATTTCATCCATCGAAATCCGAGTGATCGTTCGGGATATACAGACACAATCATGTCACTATTAATCATCGTGACACAAGGTTTCGTTTGTACGTTGAATATTCAATCGAATCGTACGCATTTTCGAATTAATTCCGTTTTCTTCACGGACTGAAAACTCACCGGAGCCATGTTTACAAATGGTCGACAAATGGAAGAGCCTGTGGACAGGCGGCGCCACGATTGTTCGTTCGCGATCGATGTCAGGGACGTGGCCACCGAATGAGGGTCCGAGGTTTGTAAAAATATCCCGTTACATTAATTAACAAACAAAGAAATCATATTTTTTAGTTACAGTATGCAATGAAAATTTTGTGTTTTTCAGTTATTGCACGAATGTACATGCTAAGAAATTTCTGTGTCGTATCTAGATCTAAATATAAATTACTGAGATAATATTTGTTTCTTTATCTATTAAACAGTTTAAAAAAAAAAAAGAAACGAACTGGAGGGGGGGAAAGTAAAGAACGATCGAGTTGTATCTTTTCCATAATTGTATTTATTTAAGGCTAATATACAGTAACGTCTAAGACATAATCATTACCTAGATGAACATAGATTCCACGATCAGAGAATCGTATGACGCTTAACTCAACCAATTATCGCGGTTATTATTCGTACCTTCGTAATTATTTACGATATTAACTGCCTATGTGGTGAAGCCATCTTACGCATAATTATATCTCGTCGTACTTACAAACATCTTAAGTAGTCGTTTTCGTTTTTTTCTCTCTTTTTTTTTTGAAATTCTGTAATCGATTCGTGGACATACAGCAAGCGCCTCGAAGAAAAAGGGAGGGGGAAGGGGAGTCTTTCGCTGTTGGGGCGATTTTATTTAATTGCATTTTGAGCAAGGACGCCTCGAGAGATCAATTTTTTTTCTTTTTTTTTCTTTTCGGTTTTTCGATCATTAATCGTAACAGAAATAAGGTAGTAAAAGGGATTAATTCTTGTTTCTTCCTGCATTTCAACCATCTTGAAATTTCGTTTCGTGAGAAATATCCCTGAAATCCTTTCGTCATCCTATGCGCCGAAGAAAAAGAATACAGGAAACCATTGTTCATTTCGCGTAAATGAATTAGCGTGTAGCAAATATACGATCTCTTTTCTTCGATTTCATTCCCGTCACGGAAATCGATTTAACGACGAGACCCTGGCTCTAAGGATTTCTTCGATTCTATCTCTTGCTCCGTTTCGCGTTATAGGAATCAATTTTCACTTCTATTAATAACCGAAATATTTGCGCAACTGAAACGTGTTTGAATTAGGCCAGCAAAGCGAAGAACGTTTAAGATTTCTTCGATAACTGAATAAACAAAAAAAAGGAAACTTTGTATTCTATTTCACATCCTTAACTATCATTTACTTAAAAGTAGCTCGTTTCTGTAGAATAGTGACAAGGCTGCTGATCGCAAGTGATTCGATAGAAAACAATAAAACTAAGACACTATTAAACGGTCTTCACGGATATTTAAATAATCGACAGAATATTCGTGGACTGAAGTTTGAAATTTTCTTAACCCTTTCAGACTTGAATTTTCTTTTAAGAGTAAAAAAATATATTTGATTACACATTTTAACTCAGTGGACTGTTTAGATATTTTGTTTAAAAAAATTTTTCCTTTAAATTTAAAAAAAAAAGGTTTTTTTTTATTCAATTCTGAATTAAAACTATTCAGAAGATGAAAAAGTTTAAATTTATAAGAAACATATGGGTTTGCAACACACTGTATGTACCCAAAACTTTATGTGTACCAGGTCCGAAAGGGTTAAATAAATAATCGAAAAACGTATAGAAACTACGAAAGTTTTCCTATAATGTCTTTCTCAAAAGTGACTAAAAAAGGCTGTGAGGTAGTGAAGTCCACGTGCTAATCGACGGTGCGGATCACTAATCGATAGCCTATAGCTAAATTATGGTAAAAATTAGAGAGAAGGTGACTGATAACGTGTGTTCGTCTGAACCGAAGATATTCAACGCGGAAATGATCCAACAACGGCAACAACAATCAGAAATCCCGCGTGAACGTTGTATACAACGGTGAATAAAAAAAAAAAAAAAAATAAAAGTTCATGCTTGACAATTTCGCTCTTTCTCACCCACACTTTCTCTCTCATTCTCTCTCTTTCGTTCTCTCTGTCAGGGGGTCTCTGTCTCGAGTCTGCTTCGCCGCTAAATGTTATTTATAAGTCACATTATTTATATATATATATAATATATATATATATAATAATAATAGTTTAATCTTAGATCGACAATTCGTAGTAATTTATGTACATGTACACGCATATACGTAGATACACATGTTCTCCCGTCCGCTAGCGCGCGGACAATTTCATAATTTCCTTTCGCGTTCTCTCTCTCTCTCTCTCTCTCTCTCTCTCTCTCGTTCTTCTGATAACCGATTCTTCAGCTAGGGGTCAACTACGGAGGAATTACTGGCATCGAGAATCACGGTCGTAGATGATCTTGATCTACCATTAGATCGAAATAAACGTTTCAGAGGCAGGAACGACTCTCCACTACGGCCGATTTTCGATCGAAACAGAGCGGAAGTGACGGAATATTCACGTCGAGGACCTTTTCAGAGGTGAAACTTGGTCATTGGATACTGTTTCTGGGATATTTTCACAGATTCTTCGTCTTCAGGGATGTACAATAATCGGTTAGACGGTGTACGCTCTGGTAAATCTCGATTTTTTTGCAGATTGCTTCAAGGAGATTAGAATCTACCAAGGATTTTTCAAGGATTTGAATCGGTGTTCTTTCGATTTCGTTAGAAATAGGTACTGAATCTGACGAAGCACAATCTCCACTACACTCGATAACTTTGAAAAATAAAAGTATTTTAAAAATAATCATTTTCCATTCAGGGACGAATTTACAAAGACCAAATATTTAATTAAAATATATTTATAAATACTAACGACAATCCAATTAGTAGAATATCCACTTTTACTGGGGGGAAATTCCAAGTGAATATTTAATTACAGTTTCGGAATGATGCTTGAGTGAAAGAAAAAACTAAAAATATATGCCGGTATCCTTCAAGAGGTTAACTAAAAACATTTTCTCACAATTCTTTACTACCCAATTTACAAAAACCAGTAGTCATTGACGATCATCTCCCATGAAAAGGTCCGCGACATACCACCCGAAATCCCATTAACACGTTAACTGCTCAAAGGAACTAGCCCGCGTCCCTTGAGGCTTCCAGACGCATCAAGAGGACAGAAATCACGATTTACAATTGAAACTAACTCGATCGCCGGAGGATCGACGACGCAGTTAACATATTAACAATCAAACCAATGTCTCTAAATCCTCGAACGTTTATTCCACTCGCGGTTCAGAGCTCGCGATTACCCGTTCTAAATCGTGTATTTGTGTGTGTATGTGTGTGTGATCGAGAAGATATTACCTATTAGTTGCACGATTAATTGGGGACAGATGCCTCTCTCTCTGTTACGGCGGCCATTATCTTCGATCTTTTATCGTTCGTTCTCTCTGTTCGTTACTTAACATTATTCTTTACTTGGAAAATTTCGTATTGCGTTCACGGGTGGGTCGAAGTTTTACATCACGCCGTGTATACCGGTCAGTTTACCGACAAACGCTGCGGGGGCGGTCTGCGAGCCAGAGGCTCCGCCAGCGGGTGGGGCCGGGGCAGCGGGCGGAACTCCGGGCACCTGGCCAGGTATGCCAGGCGGTGGATAAGCGTACGGCGGCGGCGGCGGTGGCGCCGATTCTGGCATGAATTTCGCTGAAAAATGCAAATACGTTATGGATCAGACCTGGAGAAATTGTATTTGAAATGAAAATAAGAAATAATTTACTTCGGGAATTTTATTTTCAATACTGTGATTTGAAAATAAAAATATCGTTTTATGTGAAATACATAGTAATTTCAAATACCTAATTAATTACTTTGTTATTTTTGTATTTTAAATTTGGCTAAAGATATAGACTCTACTCGATTATCGTTCCGAACTCGGGTCCGGGCCAGGACAATAATCTGAGACGTCTTTAAGCCGTATTCAACGCGTCATTGTATATGATAGAGAATATAATTTAATCCTATCAGTGATTTTGGGGTTTTTAAAACGAGGAAAATTGGAGGATGAAGGTTCAAGGATTGGTCCGATTTCATCGGGAAAATACGAAGCTCGGATGTTTTCGTCACCGGTTCCGTGAAAGGAACAAAAGACGAGTTATGTATCTGTCTGCTTATTTGCCGATCGATGAGGAACAGTGAACGTGAGTCGAATAAAAGGAGCCACCCTTTTGGTCGACACTCTCCCGCCAATTAAACACGCTTCTCTTCGTGCGATTTGCACCTCAGGAAACGTTCCTCTGGAAATGATCGAAGGAGGGAAAACGGTGTTCGGTAAGAAACAGAAAAGAAAAGAAAGAAAAAGTAAGATTCGATATTCTTACCTCCTATTCGACTTAAGAATACACTGGGCACTTTTAAAAATGATCCTCTTCTTTGCGTTAGCCTGAAAGCCTTCGATCTAGATGATCAATATTATCTTTGATCGAGACGAATATCACTTTGGTCCCTTCGATCGGTGACATTATCACTCGATAATTGAAAATTAGATAAAAGAAATTGGATTTAAATTATGGAAGATCTAATACGAAGTCACAGAAAAAGGTATTTCTTTTCTTTTTTTTTTTTGTAACTGCCGTTTTCCTTCGTTTCTGTCGTTTGTCTCGACAAGCTGCCTTTGGATTGCTTTTGGTTTCTGACTACGCACTTGTAATTATTTATTCGACACTGTACAATGTTTGAAAGCGGTATAATTATGATCAATAATCGTCGTTAATAATTAACGGCCTCGAATCGGGTCAAGGTGTCGCAAATGACGGTACAGAGGTTTTTTGAAGAATTCGTGAAACGCTGTTCCGAACGTATTCGAAAACGTCTACGAACGATGCTTCCCATTTGGTTTTCTCTTTCGCTAAAAAGAATTGTGTCGGTTTCCTTCTTTGTGCCTGGCCTCGTGTAACGAGCACGAATTACGAATCGATTCGTGATCCGTAATGCATTGTTAAAAATTATTCGTAAATTTCTATAATAACGAAAAGAATAATTCTATACCGATTTCACTTAAGGGGTTACTATCTATCTGGATGGATAAAAAAAATCAACTTTTCCATTTTTTTAACTTCGAATGAAACATTACACGGTTGACGTCGATCTCACTTTTTTTTAAATTTCATTTTCGATTTATTAACAACGAAGGAAAAAAAGACGATTTTTTTCCATGGACATTTCATATTTTCACTTCAAAGTGTGGCCATTATGTATGAAAAGTGCAATATTGAAAATTGGAGATCGTCTTCGAAATTTCAATTATTTTCAAAATCCATTTTTGTGCCTTCAGATTTACAAAAACAAAAAAAACATGAATTGTATCAAAAGCGATATGTCGATTTGTTAATACTATTTCTTCATCAAAATTTAGCATAATATGATTAAAAAAGCTATGTATCTTTTGGGTAGAAAAACGTTTTGCGTCATTTCCACCTGATTCTTTTTGAAAACAAGTTGTTCAATTTCTGTCTTTTTCGTCCCTCGAGGTAGAAGTAACCCCTTTTTTTTTTGCGTTATCGAATCGATATTCCATCGAATTATACGCTTTGTCCATTTTTTTTTCTTCTTAAGAATCGTTTGATTCGGTACACGGAGAGGGGGACTCGATAAGAAACGAAAAAAAAAAACGAAACGAATCCGTGAAACAAAAACCACCAGCTACTTTCTGCCTGAAAAAAAAAATCACGGTTCTCTCGAACATCCGTTCCCGTAAATCGGTTCCATGCTGAACACGGGCGACGAGTATACACTTCGGGGATAACATTTCTCCACCGTGGGATCGTGTAAAAGATATCAGAAAACGATCTCGCGGTGTTGATTTCTCTAAAATCCGCGAAACGATCGACGGAATTTGATTCGTGAGACACCGAGGATCTCTGACTTTTCCGAGTCTCTTCAACCTCAAAGAAACACAGATTCCGCGAGAAATCTGATATTTTCCGCGATATTTTCTACACGTTCCACGGTCCCGTGGATCGCCAACCGAAATGATCCACGGCGATCGAACTCGATCGCTCCCGTCCAACGCCACACGTTCTCACTCGTTCCTCCCGCGCTATTTATTATCGTTATTGTTGTTATTTATTATCGTAATTATTCTTATTCACGTTATTATTAGCATCATCATCGTTATCATTAGTATTATTAATATTATTAACATGTATACATAACATCTGTAGATAATTCTTCAAGCCTTAAAACGAACCTATATAGTCGCCTATGTGGCGTCTCTCACCCTCTCTCTCTCTTTTCCCTTCGATTTCGTTCTCATTCTTTTCTCGCTCGTAACATATTTTTTATCTCCATTAATTTTCTCGTTCGTTTGTTGAATTTATTTTTGGTATATACGCGATTTTCTCGTGTCGTCGCACAGGTTGCTTGAGAAAAAAAAAAAACGCTCTGGTTACGTCGTTTTCGACGAAGGCAGGCCGGGACCTAAAACTTCATTTTTTCTCCTCTTCGAATATAAGTATATGTTTCCGTCGACTGAAGGGAAAGACGCGATAGAACAAAGGATAACACACACTCTCTCTTTCGATCGTTTCTTTCTCTCTCTCCCGTTCATTCACACGTCTCGCTGTTCCTTATCGCCTCGAGTCTCAGTTTAATCAGCGGTGCTTTGTCGTAATCGAACGAACGTGAAGGAGAAAAATGTTATTATTTACAGCACGAGATGTCACACATGCGTCCACGTGTCGCGAGACGAGATCGCAGCGATCCAGAGGCAATAGTTTCAGCGCCCGTTTCAAGCGTTAATATACAGGGTATTAAGAAAAATCTGGGACACTTTGAAAACGAAGCCCCGAACGCAATTTTGACATTCTTAATTTTCATCTCGATCATATCCTGCGAAAGTGTCCCCTATTTTTTCTGGAAAACAATACTCTCAGCGATCAGGAAAATGGTAGATCCTCGAATCCAAGGTTTACCTATCGAAGATGACCGAGATAGATTTCTTTTATAGCTCATATAGATTATTTTAAACTTCAGCAACAATATATCCTTAAAATCGTAATTTTTTTCTGGGAAAAAATTTTTTCAATTATCCTGAGATTCCACTCGCAAATCTCGATCCTGGATCGCAGGCCGTTCCCCCGTCTCGCGGCTCAAAGCACACACGATTGTTTATAAAGTAAACGTCGATATACATTTATACACGCATTTTATTTATCGTTATTCGGCACTTCATCACGGCGGGAAAAGTGGGGGAGGAGTTACAACGAGAAAACACTGCTACCGATCACGATTCTGCCTTCGTTGAAAAGGATCGAAAATTCTGGCTTGCATATTTTTTTTCTTTATTATTATTTCACGGACACCCTGTGTATCGCGATCTCTCGCTGTTATCCATCCCGATCTCGTTTATTAGCGTTTCTGTAAACACTGGCCGTTGCGTTCGATTTTTCTCTCTTTACATTCCGCGTGGGATCAATTGAACGGATCGTGGACGAAGGAAGGCAAGCATTCCTCGCGATTTAATTCAGTTCCTCTATCTATCACATAAATAAACAAATCACGTTCTATCGTTTACCACACCATACAAAACTGCACAGCTTTTTAACCGACATTGATTAATGATTATTCCAAACGAGCCTGGAAATTCGCGGATTCGAGCCAGCCTTCGTCCATTCGCCTGTGTCCATTTCCCATCGAACACCGAAACCGATCGTTTCCACACAAGAATCGATCGAGATCCGTAACAAAGAACCTATAATCGTCTTCTTTCCTCTATAGTTCCCTCGACGGAGTCCTTCCACCATCTCCACTTTTTCCAACGATCACCTAGATTCGTTCGATTTTTCTATCGAAGTTTCGAAGATCGATGACGATCTTCATCCAATTTCCTTTCGAGAACCCATCGATGGACGCTTCGTCGATGGTCCCATCGTTGTTGTTCTCCATTCCGTTCGTCTTCCTTCCGATTCCTTTCGATATAAACTACCTCGATTGTTGCTTAGTTTTTCTTTTTCTTATTTCCCGTTTTTCTTAACACACGTCGATCGACTTCTCCCACGCCCCCGATTTCACTTCCTGTTCTCCACGTCTCTTTCTCTCTCTTTTGGCTGGCTAACCGCGTGGTGTTGCTTGTGTTTATTTTGTTGCTGCCTGTGTTTTTTTATTCGGTTGATTTTTTGTTTTGTTCTTTGTTTTTTTTTTTTTTTTTTTTTTTTTTTTTTTTTTTTTTTTTTTGGGTTTTTTGTTTGTTTTTGGTTGGTTGTCTCGGGGCTTAATTTTCGTTACTCACGTGTTCAGTATTTTGCGAGTCGCTGCCGCCGGTGGCTATCGCTGAAAAGAACAACACAGCCGAGTTTTGGTACCGTCCCCGTTTTTTTAATTTTTGTTTTTGTTCGTCTGGACCGTCTTCATGGTTTTTTTTTGGTCAGCGATTCTTTCTTTTTTCGCCCCACCCCTCCGAAGGGTTTAAGCCCACCCCGTATCTTTTCTCGCGGTTCGATCGCATGCAGAATCGTGGATTCAAGTCTTTTGTGGACGGGGATCGGGGCCAAAGGTCGATCGTGTACTCGAGATTTTTTTAAAATTAATTCTTGATAGAACAAACAATCGCGTCAAATTATTGTGATAATAAAACAATCTATGATTCGTCGCTCGAGTTCTTAATTGTTCTAAACAAGTAATTAAAGAAGGTTAATATTGATTTATGT